AACCAGAAGGCAGTAGAGAATGGAGGTGTGAGGAGTAGTATCATAGACTACAAGAGTCTCTGAGCCCGTCTCTTGGTCTCCAGTCTCTTTCTCCAACTCTTAATCTATTCTCTGTTTTGGCTTCAGAGACACTTTCTCAAACAAAGATGAAATCAGGTCATGTCTATGCTCAATCCTTTCCTGCTTTTGATAACAATAATTATAATAATATAATTAAGTTATTCAGCTAAAAATTTCACTGTCCTCCTCATTATCAATCTGCCTTATCCATCCAATCAATTTTCTGTCACTTCCAACAAACTTCTCTCAGAATAGGCAATTCAAGTGTGAAATTTCATGCTCAGCTGCTTGCCTCATGTTCTCAGAATCTTCTCCTGAGCACACTTTTCCCCTGCCCAAACTCTGCTTTACGGGCAAATTTCCACTCATCCTCTTAACTAAATTCCTCTCTGAGTCAATTATCCTTGCCTTTGCTATCATATAGAAATGCATTCTTCCCTCTATTCTAGAAATGGTCACAATCTGGCTCTGTTATAGAATTGGTGGATATGTTTCATGTATGCAAGCATGCCTTCTCCATGAAATGTGATTCCCTTGAGTTCAGGCTTCATTTCCTTTCTGTGTTCACTCTCTATATGCCTACAAAATTGGCTTTATACTCTTGGTGAATCAAATTGTACTGGGAGAAGTGAACACAATAATACAATGAAATTATTTAGAATATGGCTTGAGGCTGTTAAATTTTAAAACTTGCAAGAGTCATACTCCATATTCTATAGTTTCCTTCATGAATGAGGGAGTTCCAGACTAGCAGCTATCAGATAAATAAGTTATGGACATCAAATTCACAGCTAAGTGATTACAGTCAATAATACTATGTTAAAAATGTTGAACTTTCTAAGGGACTAGATCTTAATTGTTCTCCACACAACAAAGAAACAATTATTGTGTGATGTGACAAAGGTGTTAGCTAACGCTATTGTAGTAATCACATTGCAATATATGAATGTATCAAACCAACATGTTGCATAGTTCAAAGTTATACAATGTTATCTCTCAATTTAAAAAAAGGTTCATAAAATTAACATGGATTTGGGAAAATAGGTATTGTTCCCTTGTATTCTAAATGTCATTTGAAAGGATATCCCCTGGGGCTAAAATATTGGTATCCCAGAAGCATGCGGAATCTTTACAGACTAACTGGTAGGATCATTGATTAGAAACCCAGAGGATAATTCCAAGAATAAATAACTACCATTAGGTACAAAATTCTCTTTAACAGATTTTCTTCTCATGCTTTTTCTTTACAAGGCTGCAGGGCTTATTGCAGGATGATAGTTTCACAAAAAGGAGAGTAGGTGAAGGGGGAGAAGGCTCTGCAGTGAGGGGGCTCAAACTATGTGTAACTTGGTGAACCTTTACCACATTGACCTAGAGTTTAAAGTTCACTTATCCTGTTCCCATATTGTCAGCAGGCATCATAAGGTTAATAAATGCTTTCAAAATGTGTATGGGCCATATGGGATTAAATCTTCTGTTTCCCTGGGAATAACTCAGGGGTATGGAAGGGGTGTACTTACCAAAACAACAGCAACAACAAATATGCAGTGTAACAAATCGAATGGAAAAAATCAAAAGGTGAATGAAATGTGGCTTGCCATTAAAAATCATGGAAAATTAAAAAAAAAAACACACCCTCAAATGATACTCAGTCCCTCCAGTTATAAAAATAACTTTCATGGGATGCCTGGGTGGCTCAGTGGTTGAGCGCCTACCTTCAGCCCAGGGCATGATCCTAGAGTCCCAGGATCGAGTCCTCCATTGGGCTCCCCGCATGGAGCCTGCTTTTCCTTCTGCCTAGTCTCTGCTTCTCTCTCTCTGTGTCTTTCATGAATAAATAAATAAAATCTTTAAAAACTTTCACAAAACTGAAATTACTCTGTCTAAATATAAAATTATGTAAGATTTTAGCATAATTTAATGTTTTTACCTTCATGTTCAATACAATTAAACCAAAGCCAGAATTACTGAAGTCTGCATGTTAACTATGATTGAAAAAAGTTGAACTTTGATCATAGAATCTTTAAAAAATAGACACAATAGAGACTGCCAGCTTAATCTCTGTACCAGCAGAGACAGAAAGACACAAAAGGCTGAGGGGGAATGAAATGAGGGATAGGGCAAAAAGTCAGATGAGTAGTTCCACCTACTCATGCAAACATGAGAGAGATGGAAAGACTGATACATAATATAACAACTGGTAAGATGTAGTCTTAGACTAAATTGTTGGAGATCATAAATCAAGAAGAAGATCTTGCCTGCTCTTCTACGTGGGAGTGGGCACTCTTGTCCTGTCAACTGTTTATTTGACTTGGTAAGGCTGAAACTCTCTCTGCTGTATTAGGGCCCTGGTGTGGGACTGGACCAATTCTTATAAGTTGCTCAGGGATGCTGACTCCCATCCTGGCTTTCTCGAGTCAACAATACCTGGACTTTGGTTTCTATTTGTTCAGACTAAATTCTGTCAACAGAAAGGGATGACATAGGACTGCAAGATAAAGAAGTCTGCTTTGGTTTCATAAAAAGGCTCATGGGTTGGCACCAGAGGGCTGGTTAGGCCATAGCAAATTGCTGCAACTGTGTGGAACCCAGTATTAATGCAGGCCCCATGTCAAGGATTCCTGCTCTTGCTTGGATGGTCCCAACAGTGATAGGTGGCTTCCTATTTGGGAACTGAGAACTATGTAGAGCATCTGCTCTATGTACTATGTTCACACAGGCATGAAAGGAAAGACAGAGCCCCTGGGGTTGTGTCAATATATTGCTTTGTACTTTGCAATGTTTGCATAGGGGTCTGTCAAGCCCTCCTTCCAGAAAGTGCAGTTCCTCAGGGACTGGGTCATATTTCTACTCCAGGTTCCTCCATTCAATCTGCCCCATCCACACATGGGCAAAAATGCTTTCGGAGTCTTGGCATTTGATAGCATAACTGTTTTGGGATTTTGTAGGTTTTCCCTAAGCTAAGAATTTCTGTGAACGTTGATGTAAGTTTTGTAAACAGTTTGTACTTTCAAACAGCTATTACATAAGTCATCTCATTTTTTTTTATTTGAAAGTTCAAATGGAACAGCCAAAATGAAACAAATGGCCTTTCCTTGATAGCAATATTAGTAGAAATGTTCCTGTTTTACACATGGAAAGCTATCAAATTGAGGCCTAATTACTTTACAGTTTTCAACAGGTGGTTCTTAATGGCAAAGCAGTTATCACACATTTAATAAGAATAGGAACTAACTAGGTGGACTTGGATGTTTGATTATCTATTTGAGCGTGTAATTGCATTTTCAATATAATTAGCAATAAATTGAATGTGTAAATTAATAGATGTATAGATGTATTTGCCCACATAAGTCATTGTAATTCAACACAATACTTTAGACCGAGGGCATTATTTCTCAGTTGATAGCAATATAATCTCATGATTACTGTTTTTCTTAATATTTTTTCTGACAGCAACAAAATATACATAATCAAAAGACATATTTTTAATAAGTTGAGATACCAAATTAAGTATAATTATTTTGATTAATTTAGACAAAATTTACGAAAGTAAATAATATTCCAATAGTTTAATTCAAATAATAAAACCAGCCTCCTTACTATGCTATTGAGAATTAACCCTAGGATTTTCTAGTGCTATATTATAAATTAATATAAAAAAGGGATTGTGAAATATTTGATTAAACTACTAGTCACACTATTGTTACTATTTTTCACACATTTTCACGTAGAGGAATTCAGTTAAATCCTGAACTCTTTTAGGGGAAATAAAAAACAAGATTTAGCATTAGTATAAAACAGCACTTTTTCCTCCTAAATGGTAATTTTAAGTAAAGTTAAACTATTCTTTACATATTTAGTGGGCTATATTATTTTTTCATGTGTAAAGGGCCCTACAGACACCAGGTCAATATAATACTTCTTTCCAATTACCATTATTTCATTGAGTATGAATTTACTATAGCACATAATTGATACATAATTGATATAGTTGGGGCTATCTACTGGGCATTATAAATTCCCTCCTCAGGTCAACACATGGCAGTTTCTTTCTGGAAGGGGGTAATACCATAAAATGTTTCTTCTACAGCCTGTTTTCTCTTTCTCTCTGTCTCTCTGCCTCCTTCTCTGTTCTTCCATCCCTCCTTTCTTTCTCTCTCTCTCCTTTGCTGGATTTATTTCTTTTTAAGATTTTATTTATTTATTTGAGAGAAAGAGAGAGAGAGAGAGATCACAAGCCAGGGGAGAGGCAGAGGGAGAGGGAGAAGCAGGCTCCCCACTGAGCTGGGAGCCAGATGCGGGGCTCAGTCGCAGGACCCCGGGATCATGACCTGAGCTGAAGGCAGATGCTTAACTGACTGAGCCACCCAGCTGCCCCCTGAGCCACCCAGGCACTCCATTTGCTGGCTTTAAAGCAGCAAGTTACATGGATGCCAGAGCCACTAGAAAATTAATTCTGTCAACAACTTGAGAGATCTGAGAAGCAGCTCCTTCCTCAGTAGAGCCTTTGAGGATGATCCAGTAGTAGCAGGTCTCTTGGCTGAAGACTTACTAGACCTTAAGCAGAGGACCCACTTAGATCATGCCCAGACCTCTGATCCATGGAAAACGTGACATAACACCTGCGTATTGTTTTAAGCCCCTCAGTGTTTGGTAATTTGTTATGCAGTTGCATAAAGCTAATACAGACAGAGCTGCAGCAAGGTTAGGCATGCCACCAATCTGCTCCCGTGGGACTTCCTAAGGCAGTCATTATAAAGCTTACTCACAACTAGTGTAACTCTTCGCTTATTTGTGAGGATAAGCTCTTCGTTTAGCAACCAGGAGGCTGAAATTGTTGTCTACATTACTAGAGTCTTCAGCTACCTTCCAGTCACGTGTACTGGCTAGTCCATTCAATTGCCAGCCTGTGATGAAATGTGCCACAATTCTGTTCTCACCTCTTTGCTGCTGAGGATGATGACACAGTAGCGCGTGTGCATGTCAAAGGGAAGAAACACGAGCTCCAGGCTTGAGGTCCCTTTTACTCCCAGGTGAAGAGTGTGTGTGGAGCAGAAGAACTCTCTGATGAAATTGGACTTAATTGCTACCAAAACATGAAGTAGAGCTTGTTTACATATCATTTCATAAGTGCTGTTCAAATAAAGCAGCTGTTTCAATTAGTGCTTCAAGTTTTGAAATGAATAAAAAAAATGTTCATAGCATTAGCACACCAAATTAGATGACACATGCATTTGTTAATGAAAGTACAGGTGACACCAGCACAAGCCTGATATCATAAAAATGTAAAATTATGACCCTCTATTAAAGATTCCTCAAAAAGGAAACTTTATTAGTATTTAAAATTAGCCTAGATTTACATATATAAATAGCAAAGTGGTTATCCAGGTAACTTCAACTTTTTTTGTGGACTATGTAAGAGTTCATGTAACATGGTGTAACAGAAAACTTGAACTGGAAATAGAGGAATGTTATATACATATTTTTTTTCCTATTGTTTTTGTTGACTTTAAAACATGTCTACAAGTTCTTCAACACTACTGTGAGTGTGGTGATATGGTGGGGCAGTCTCAGTGACTTGATCCTAACGAATAGTATGCTGGAAGATAGCAATGTGACTTCTGACACTAGAGCAAACAATGTAATACAATTTCTTCCCAATCATCCCTTTCTTGGCTCACTTGCTTTTAGAACCAACTTGTCATGCTGTGAAGAAGCCTAGGCCACATGAAAAGCCACATGTAAGTGTCTAGGCCAACAGCCCTACCTGAGGTCCTAGCCAATACGTATTAACCATCAGACATGTGAGTAAGGAAGCCTTTGGAATGACTCCAGCTGCAGCCTCCATCTGACTATAACTGCATGAGGATGCTGAGCAAGAAGAGTCTAGTTGAGGCCAGTTACTCCAGAAGTGTGAGAAATAATAATGCTAACACATTTTTATTGTTTAAGGCCACTACATTTGGGGTGGTTTGTTCTGTAGCTAGACAGCCACATCATTCCTATATCCATTGTCCTATTCACATTCTATTCATCTTTTCTACATCTATAGTTATTTCATAAAACAAAGTAGATCTGTGTTCTCCTTGTAATTTTAAACATGGTGAGACCTGCCACCTAAATAGGTTTAAACAGTTCAGAATACGCTAAAAGAAACATAAAAGTCATTTATTTAAATGCATTCATCATACGGGTAAGGAAACCAGGACTTGTAGTGAAAAGAAAGCAGGGACAGAGTCCTCCAAAGGGTCATGATCAGCACTTGGGCCTCCCACTCTGCCAGTAATCCCCAGGGCTTGCCTTTCTGGCTATTGTCATAACCATCTTTTTTTGGGCATTTCATTTACTGGTATGCCATGCACACAAAAGTCAGACATGAAGACAAATGAAAGCTTTTATTTGAGGTACTCACAAGTTCTTAAGGCATTTGGGGAATGGCAATCACTCTCAGGGCTATTCTCAGCATTACTGTCATAAGTAAACAGGAGAACAATATCAACAACACAAAAGAAAATAAAAAAATAATTCTCTATTTTCATTAAATCTTATAGAATCTTAAAAATTATGGCTGCCTACATGATATGCAAAGACCACAGATGTATTTCATATATCACCCTTATGTTTATATTGTTTCAGAAATTTGAAAAGAAAAATGCAAAAAGGAAACTAATAATCATCCATATTTCCACCACTGTTTCATACAATTTGGTAAAAATAATTCCTTTTTACTTTTGAATATGGAGAAATAAACATTTGATAAAAAAAAAAATCCTGAGGCCCAAAAGTAGTGGTCTCAACTTAGGATTACATAGGTATTTTCTCTAAAAGTGGTTCTAGAACTTGATTTCTTGGAAGATTCTCTTCTTTCAGCTTATTGTTTCCACATTTCCTTTTTTCTCATAAAGAAAGGAGATATGGACAGCTGCTTAAGCTCTGGTTGCATTTCTGAAAATTAATTAGCAGATCACAGCCTGAAGCAACTGCCTCCCTTGAAAGTTTCTGTATCTTCCAGAACCCATCAATTTTCCCCCAAACTGCTCTTCTCTTAATATTCATGATTACTTTGCTCAACAAGCTGGCAATTAGCATCTGGGCTCTCAGATATTGTTTGCCTGATTTTTTTCTGAGAATACAAAACTCCATATTTTCTCACCTTGTCATCTGCTTTTGCCTGAATTTGATGCTGTAAAAATATATGGGCTCTTTCCAAGTAAAGTTCTAGCCATATTGATTCATTTCTCCACTGCCTTTTCTTGATACAACATTCTTAATAAGGTTTACCAGATCTTGTAATTTTTTCTCTGCTTTATTTCAACTCACAGACATTCTGATTAGCTGTTGTAATATTTTATGTAACTTGAACATTTGATAGACACTTTAAGGCTATCAGAGATATATTAGATATTTTTAGCATTTATAAAGGAGATTATACAGAGAATGGAAAAAACAACAAAGAATGCTTATTTCTCAATGTATGGCTCCACTGCCATCTCAATAATGGAGCTCTGGGTAGAATGCCTGATTAAAATCCTCAGATAATTTCAGAACTTCATTTTGCTCAATACTTGCAATATCTAGCCCTTTAGTCATTTTCTTTCTCATAATGAATAGAAAAGCAGAGCAATTTGGGCTTCATCTCCCTTTACTTTTCTTTAAGTATTTTCTTAGAGAATAGCCTTTTGAATAAATCAGAGTTGCCTTATCCTCAAAGGAGATTCTCAAGCCCAGAAAAATTGAGTTACCTGTACTACTTACGGCAAAGATGGATAGAAAAAAAATGCAGACGTAGAAATGTTATTACCTTGCTCATATAAATTGATTATCATGATTAATTTGGAGACATCAGAAAATAATTAAATAAAATAACTTGGTTTAGGAAAATTCTATTTTACCTGATCAACATTCTTGAGTCTAGAAATTCAGTGATAAACCCACCTTGTTTACAAAACCACTATCTTGCAGGTCAAAAGACAGAATGGGAAATCAACTCTGCCTTTTGGTTACTCCCTGTGCCTCAGTCTATGCTATCATTTTCCTAAATGCTTATCAATTATTGTTGAAGCTATGGAAGAAGGAGTATTTTTAAACCCTTGGTTTTAAAGAAGAAATATCATCAAAAGAGGTTAAAATTATACAAAATACAGTTGATCAAGGAAGGGAATATTTTCTACTAATTTAGCAGTGGGCTAAAGTGAGTGAAACCTACTTAGGAGGTGTGAAGGGATAGCATTTTTTTTTTCTGCAGTAGTAGTACACAGCTCCTTTCAAACTAAAATAATCAAAATGACATTGAACTGGTTCTATTCAGAGTATGAATGAATCAACCCCAAGAATGACTTCCTATTCAACCCTTTTCCAGTGGGGAGGGAAGATCTTTTTTTATAAGCCTTCATGAAGCTACTCTTGGGCTAGCATTCATGGCCATGCTCAAATCAAAGAGCAAATTTTCTGGTTAAAGACTAGTCTTCAGGCATCATGGGAAGGAAATGCAAGAGGATTGATTTTGATAATTCTCTATCTTCACTCTATCCTCTATATGTCCAGGGCTTCTTTAGAAAAGGACCTAGTGGCCATCTGAAGGGCAATAAAAATGGGATTTAAAAAATATATATTTTATTTATTCATGAGAGACACACACACACAGAGGCAGAGACACAGGCAAAGGGAGAAGCAGGCTCCACACAAAGAGCCTGATGTGGGACCCAATCCTGGGACTCCGGGACTCCAGGACCACGACCTGAGCCAAAGGCAGACGCTCAAATGCTGAGCCATCCAGGCGTCCCCCAAATGGGATATTTGCTGGGGTTTTTTGTACCACTTTGCCTCTGAGCAATTGAGTAAGTCTGTAAAGCAAGGTGTACCAACCTGAGGTGCAAGGACAGAGTGTATCTATGAATTCAAATGGAGAAAAAAAATTCCATCTTGACTTCGACTCTATTTTTTTTAAGATTTTTTTTTCATTTATTTACTCATGAGAGACACACACAGAGACAGAGGCAGAGACATAGGCAGAGAGAGAAGCAGGCTCCCCTCAGGGAGCCTGATGTGGGACCCTATCCCAGGACCCCAGGACCACGACCTGAGCCAAAGGCAGACGCTCAAATGCTGAGCCACCCAGGTCCCCCTCCACTAACTCTTAATGGTAATTCAAACCAAACCAAAGTAGCATTAGCTGTAATATGACTTGGTCACCAAATAATCATGGATATGTTTATATCACATTTCAATTCTTATACATATCTTAAGCTATTATTTACATTCATATTTACTTTTAAAGTATGGTAGTTATTACATCCACCAGTAGATTTTATTGTGCTTTATGTTAATGAAGAAGTACATATCTTCACATATTAAAATTTTTAAATATGTATATTATCTGCTGGAGTATTAGTTTCCTCTATGCCATAGACTGAATTGTGTCATCCTTAAATTCTTATGTTAAAGCCCCAATTCTCCAAATGACTATATTTGGAGATAGGACCTGTAAGAGGGTAATTAAGGTTAAATGAGGGTAGGGCCTGATACAACAGAATTAGTGTCCTTATAAGAAAAGACAACAGTGAGCTTACTCTATCTATGTACAAAGAGGTCATGTAAACCCACAGCAAGAAGGCTGCCACCTACATGTCAAGAGAAGAGGCCTCCAAATGAAAATTATCTTGCCCGTACCTTGATCTTGGACTTCCAACCTCCAGAGCTATGGGAGATAAACTTCTATTGTTTAGGCCACCCTTTCTATATTATTTTGTTATTGCAGCCTGGGGAAATTACAACACTCTGTAATCCTTGCATCTTATTTTAAGTATTTATAAAACTTTATTCTGTGAAGTAGAATAGGATTCATCAGACTGGCAAAGACTGTGGTGATATTAAAAACAGATATGAAATCCTCATGTAGAGCAAGAGGATCATGGCAAATTGTGACTCTTAGTACATACATCTGGCTTTTGATTCACTGTACTTCCATTGGAGATTTGCCTAATTCTAATTGTCACCAATTATTCAGTGTAGTAAAATAAACTATTTTAAAACAATGGCCATGCAGAATCCATCTTTTCTGGATTTTTAGCAAGAATCAAGACCCAGAAAAATATCTCTACCAGGGCCTTCTTTTATTTGTGTGGCTACTCTGGGCCAAGTTACTCTGAGAGACAAGGATAAATGACAATGCCCCTAAGCTCATGGAGTATAGTCTGTCATACAAAGTAAATCTGCAAGAAATAATTACAAAGCAGAAAGATAAACACTTCAACACCTTTTCAACTTCCATTCACACTCTCCTATAATCCATATGCATGAGCATATGTCTTGTATGTCCCCTTGCCTATCCCTTCTCTCCTTCAGCAATTCCTTCTTCCTATGATCCTTTTCTACTTGTAGGAAAGTCCTCCTCTGCTCTAGATTCGGGCCACCAAAATCTTACTCACATTTCAATCCCAATTTGTAGGTGATAAAGAAGAACAGCAGAGTATAGCATATGCATGAGAAAAAAGTGCTTAGTACCTCATTGTTTTCCTTAAATGCCTTCTCTTTCTAGGTCTGCAATTTTTTTCTACTAGTCTTTGCCATAAATAATATAGTAAACTCAATTTTTCTGGGTTTGAGGATCTTTTTGAGGAAAAGGCAACTCTGATTTATTCAAAAGATACTTTCATTAGCTATTTTCCAAGGAAATATGGAAAGAGAAGATAAAGGAGATGAAGCTCAGGAAAATCTCTATATCTAGATAGTGGTATTCCTTGTCAATGAGCTCCAAGAACTTTTTTTTTTTTTTTTGGTACAACATACATTACTGAATGCATTCTGCCCTGTACAATTGTCTCCACTTGTGTAGATATTTTTTTCTTCTCTACTTCATGGTTGGCTCCTTGAGAATCAGATCTATGACTTATTTATCTGATAGTCCTCTGATACTATGAGCACTGCTTGAGGGGCCACTTAGTAAGAATTTATTAAATGATAAATAATTCAATGTTGCTGAAAAAAATAGCAAGTCATATTACTATAGGAAATTATTTATATAGTGCTCATTTCTGAGCACCGCTGACCCACCATTTAATTTTATTTTAAAGTGTGGCTAAAATCAATGTCCTGTCCTGATCCTTGCTGGCAATCCTTAGGATTTAATTAGAATAAAAAGTTCTTAACTGCTCTTGCTTATGCTCATGGATCATTTTCCCATAAAGTAAAAGGTGTGATGAATATAAAGTTTTATCAACCATGCGGTTTCAAATGTGCTGTTTTATATGTATCTGTTGCTTAAGAAGAGTAGCCTATAGATAGAGGTATTTTACAGCTTTTTAATAGGAGACTTTACCTTTTTTATGCCACCTGGAAGATAATTTCATCACTTTACTGCTCATTTGAGAAGAGAATATTTATTATTTGGGGAGATATTGAGTGAAGTGATCTGAGGAAGAGTATCAGTTAGCATCTGCTAGATTGTGCTGCAGTGACACCCATATCTCAGTGGATTAGCACAATAGTTTACTTTGTGCACACATTACATGTCCATTTTAGGTGAAGGGTATGTACTCAAAGATCTCTGGTGAAGGGAACTCCATTTCTTTAGTAATTGTATCAGGAAAAGGGAACAAGAAAAATTTTCCACTGGATCTTAAAGCTATCCTTTGGAGAAAACATTCAGTACTTTTTCTCATATGCTATTGGCCAATTAAGTTATATATTCACACATCAACTGGGGGAACGCAATATTATCACATGCCTAAAAAGAATAAAACAGGGATTTTTGTTAAGAGCTCTAAAAAAAGATTACTGATAGTTTATGGAGTATTTTTTTAACCTTTTCTTGATCTCTTATATTGTTACCTTGTTGATTAGACCTAGAGATCAGAGTGGGTGTTATTGAGACAATGTAATGCTTATTGTATGGTATATATTACCTGCAAATGTTATTAATCATAGAGGTACTACACCAGACTTCCATTCTGGTCATGATTCAAAATGCATGTTCTTAAATTTTATTTCTAACTGGAAATCTATTCAAGACAAACATTAAGGAGAGCTTTAAGAAAAACGATGTGTAACATTACTAAGTATTATTTTATTAAGACATTTAAAGGTCAAAAGGCCTCATTATGCCAATGAAGCCAGACTGATGAAATACTAGAAAACTTTGTGCTATTTGGAATAGAACTCTCTTTTGTGTCCCCTCATAGTGGAACCTGTTGATTGCCTATCCCAATAACCATAAGCCCTTCCTCCTCACTGACAAAACCCTCATTTTGTTTTGATGTGTATGCAGAGAAGGGTGGTTTCTCAGTCTTCCTTCCAGCTAGATTTGGCCAAGTGGCTACAAGTAGAAGTGCTGTGTGCTATTTCTGGGAAGTTGCTCTAACAAAGAAAGAAAGGGCACACTTCTATTGTGCTTCATCCTTTCTGCTGCCTATAAAGCGGATTTGATTGTTGGAGTTCTGGATACTTTAGCTGATCCTTGAGAAAGTGAATAAAGATTTGCCTGCTATATGAAGGAGCCTGGAGGTGTTGTATAGCAAGCAGTCAGGACTCCAAAAGAAGAAGCCATAATAAGTGTTTCTAATAAATCTCTTAAGAACTGTCAGAAAAACAGCCTTTGAGGTCAATATAAGACTATTCTGTTTAAATCCAACATATAAATTTGGAGCTCAGCATTCAGCCCAGACCAGTACTGACACGATAACCCAGGTACCTTCCCTTTTCCTTGAAAAACTGTAGCCTTTGACTTTTTAAATCCCCCTCTTACCTTTGATCTGATAGACAGTCTTCACAGAGGTGCATAGGAGTAAATCCTCAATCCTTTAAACAAACGGCCCTGAGACTTAATCTAAGAAGCCTGATTAATCTATTTTGGATTGTGTCCTCCCTGACCAGTACTCAATATCACTATATCTTTATGTTAATTTTATCACAGGAAGCCTTGAGCAAGGAACTAAGAAAGTAAAGTATTATTTTTTTTTAATTTTTATTTATTTATGATAGTCACAGAGAGAGAGAGAGGGAGGCAGAGACACAGGCAGAGGGAGAAGCAGGCTCCATGCACTGGGAGCCGGACGTGGGATTCGATCCCGGGTCTCCAGGATCGCGCCCTGGGCCAAAGGCAGGCGCCAAACCGCTGCGCCACCCAGGGATCCCGAAAGTAAAGTATTAGAAATATGAAAGAGACTATATGAGAAGGAATGATCCATAATGTTTGAGACCATGATAGGCACATTTCTTAAGCTGTACTTCATGCTGAGTTGGTAATTATTTTGGATGAATACTTGCAAAGTGTCCTTTCTAGCCAAAATTAAATTATAAATGTCTTAGTAATTGTTTATTCCATCATGTTTTAGATTTGAGAACTATAACATAGAAAATATAGCTTTATCTATAGCTTCAGTAATTATGAAACTTTGGATCTAATCAAAATCATTCCAGAATATTGTATGAAAAAAAAAAACATGTTAAAATTTGGGATACAGGGATGCCTGAGTGATGCAGTGGTTTAGCGTCTGCCTTTGGCCTGGGGCATGATCCTGGAGTCCCGGGGCTGAGTCCCACATCAGGCTCCCCGCATGGAGCCTGCTTCTCCCTCTGCCTGTGTCTCTGTCTCTCATGAATAAAAAAAAAAAGAAAAAAAAGAAAAAAAATTGGGATACAGAATTCCTATACTGCATTCCAAATTCAGAAAGACTTGGAGCACCTGAGTGGCTCAGTAGGTTAAACATCCGACTCTTGATTTTGGCTCAGGTCATGGTCTCAGGGTTGTGAGATGGAGCCCCATGTCAGGCTACATGCTCAGCAGGGGAGTCTGCTTGGGATTCTCTCTCTCCCTCTGCCTCTCCCCCTCCATTCACATATGTTCTCTCGCTCTAAAATATATAAATACATATTTTAAAATAAGAGAAAGCTAAAAATAAAATAAAATAAAAAAATAAGAGAAAGCTGATTCAATTTTGCTGTTCATTAAACTGATCCAACTTTGAGTTACTTAAGCTCACAGATACTGATAGCATTTCTTTGAGATTTGATTCCAGTTTAATATGTGATACTATAAATTATTCGTAATTAATGTGGAGAAATTATTTCAAGGCCATTCAGGTAAAATCTACCATGCCACACAGCTGCTTAATCAAGAAACAAGGGACTAAAGAGATAAAAACTTAGGAGAAGTATTTACTGAAGAGTTTTTAGAAACACCAGCACTTCATACTACAAAGAAATTAACATAAAATAACTACAATACTCTACTCTTACGGTATCTATACTGATGCTTTATTGCTGAAGGTATTAATTCATATTTTATTGTTCATTAAAGCAAAATGTAAAAGGAAGATTTTGAATGCCTTAGTTAAGCATGTAATTAGCATTCAATAAAACAAATGCTGTGAGACAAAAATGGTTTCCCCTTTAACAATTTTTTTTCACATAACAACCAATGAAGAATATAATAACATAATAAATATAATCCTTATAATCTCATAATACTATTGCCTTAAATTCAATTTGCTTTTGGAAAATAAACTATATTCGTTTAAATCTTAGCAAGATCTGCACAAATCATTTGCCAAATCCTTGACTCCTGATACATTTTTGCATCTAAAAGGATGATACTATCATTGTTAAGCATTACACCAAGACAAAGGTATAAAATATACTAACAACATAGTAGCTATCCTGTAATTATGTTATAGTAATGGTCAACATATGCATGCATTTCACTAATACATACTTGCATTATTTTCTTTCTGCCTGACTTTCTTTAACCTTGGCAATGTTGTTTTTATTCTATTTCACATTAAATAGTTATACTATAAATTTAAAATAGATAAGAAATATAAAACAATCTAACTTTTAAAAATTCTGCTTCTTTCTTCCAAAGTCAAAGTTTCTTTCTAAACCAAATACAGACCTCATAATGTAGGTGGAATAAATTTAAATACAGTTGATCCTCATTATCCACAAATTCTGGTTATTTGCAAATTTGTCTCCTCACTAAAATTGATTTGTATCCCCCAAATCCATACTCACAGAGTTCCCTCTGTTATTTGTGGACGTGAGCAGTGTGGCAAAAAGTTCTAGTCAGTGGTCACACAAGTTCCCAGTGAAGGTCAAACAAGGTGACACTGGGCCTTTCTGTTTCAGTTCTCATATGTAGAAGACTAGAGGATGGAGATAGTAGGAGGCAGTACAGAAGTACAAACGCTCAAGAACCTCCACCTCTGGTGCCAAATAGACACGGTTTGAAACAATTTGACAGAACCTTTTAGTGGGTTAGCCTCATGCAAGTCATTTAATACTACTGAACCTTATTTTCTCTATGTGAAGAAGAAAAAAAATCTACCAGGATGGATTGTTTTGGGGATTTACAATTATAACCTATGTGATTACATATATTTCTTCTAGGAATAATGGTTCGGTATTCACTTGCTGAGTGCCATAATTTTATGGAATATGACTATTACAAATAATGAGAATCCACTGTATTTAATCAAGTGCATATTTATTCAATTTTCATGCACATAGCCTAGTAACATATGAGAATAGAATAAGTGGGAATAATATAAATTTTGTATATATTATAAATTAAATATTTCAAATAAATGAATACTATATAATTAATAAAAAGTTTAGTTGAATGCTAATTTCTTAAAATTTTTCCTTAGACAATTATGAGCATAAAATATGTTCACATTTACCTATCGTTCATGTGGTGAGTGACTTTTCCAGATTCTGTTAATTGAGATGGCAAAGAGAGAAATGTCGAGGATTCCACCAACCTTACACTAAAACAAATGGAAAAAAGGATTATTTTGAATTCTACTATAACAAAATTAAAATGACCACAAAACATACTTTTAGACTTTTTTCCATCATTCATAAAATATAATTAGAATCAGAATAAATTACAGTTAAAAAATCCACATGCCCTCATTCTGCATCTCAAAGCATATATGTTTTCAAAAAAGGAAAGGTCAGAGTGCCTGGCTGGTTCAGTTGGTAGAGCATGCAACTCTAAATCTCAGGGTTGTGAGTTCAGGGCACATGTTGGGTGTAGAAAGTACTTTAAAAGGCGGGGTGAGGGGGGAGACCTGGAATTGAAATATGTAAAAAATAATATTCTATTATATAGAAAGGCAATGCTAAATTTTAATAGCAAGGAAATTTAGAATATAAATGACTGCCAAAATTATATTCCAGAAACAAAATGGAATCATATACTGGTCTCAGTGTATTGTCAGAGCTGTAAACATTTCATAACTTCTAATCTTATTTCCAAAAAAAAAAGAGAGAAATGTTTCCTTCAGGACTGGACATGAGATGTGGATACCTACTTAATCAGTGCATTAGTAATTATGCCATCTACAGAAATTACATAGCAATGCTGTCCTACTTACAAGATACTGCTCATTCATTCAAGAAACAGTTATGGGGAATCCATTATATGTTAGATGTGGACTAGCTGCTGGAAATACAAGGATGAATCTGTTATCGTCTCTGCCTTAGGTTGCCCACATTATAGTGGAGGTTAGTTTGGAAATGATCCTCTGGATGTGGGTCAAAGATGTCAGGAATGCCTAATTCTATCTGCAGAGTTGAAGAGAATCTGTATGATATTAAGAACAGATTTATTAAAACTTAATTCTGTAAGAACTAAATGCAGGCTGCACCAAGAGGGGGACTTCAGTGTGAAGATTATTTTGAGTTAAAAGAAATAAAAAACCAGCAGGTTCAGGTCAAGCTCTTCATCTTCCTCTCGACTTACTAAATTTTCATTGGAAAAAAGATATCCTTCCTGTAGCAGGAAAAGAGCTATTAACAGAGATTCTTCTTTAGCTAAGAAATGTATCTGCATAATAGGACAACCCCTGTTTTCCAGACATCTCCTCTCACTTTCTTGCTAATGGTCTTCCTCCCCTTTGTATCCTCACACCTCTATCTCTCTGTTTAGCTCATATAAGTCTCATATTGTCTCACTGTATTTGGAGTTTCATGTGTGTGTGAATTCCCCTTATGTAAGAAACTAAATTTCATTTTCTCCTGTCAATCTGTCTCATGTCAATTGGATTCTTAGTTCAGCTAAAAGGATCTTGAAGAGCAAAGAAAATTTCTTCCTTCTCAACAATTCGTTAAAATAAATCTTTATTATGTAACAGTTATTAATCTCATAATACAAGCTTTACAATAAAAATAGATCAATAATAAAATTAATCAAATGTTTTAGTATTGAAACACAAACACACATACAACTGCATACAAAACTAAAATGTAGCACAATTCATACATCTTAATGTTTCAATGTTGAAGGGGCTCAAGGCAGCCTCTGCTCCCCAAATGTACCACTTTGGCATGCAGATTATTTGAAGCCGAAGGCAATCAAGACCCTGTGAGCTCAAAAAAGCTTTTTGCTTCTCCCTTAATTATAAAGAAGAATCAAAATTGGGAGTTTTTCCCAGAATAAGGGTTATTAGCAGAAATAAATTTTATCCAAGTGAATAATAAATTTTATCCATCTGTATGGCAGGGCAAATGTCTAATTACCAAACATCTGCTTTTCTTCTCTCCTTGTGAGGTGCATTCCTTTCCTCTAAAATCTCAGACCCCTACTTCCTTCTCTTTAGTTCAGGATGACATATATATCTCATTTTGCCTGTCTTTGGAATTTTTTTGTCTGCATGGATTCCCCATACTTACATTATTAAATTTGATTTTCTCCTATTAATCTGTCTCATGTCAATGTGATTCTTAGTCTAACTAGGACCCTTAAAGGGGACAGGAATTCTTGCTCACCAACAATGTTAATGTCACTTTCTTTCCTTTTAAGTTGGTAGTTCTGATAGTTTCATATATAAGGATTGTAAGGAATTATATTAATATCAAACACTAAAAATTTTTAAACAGACAAAATTTACTATAGGAAAATGTAAACTATGAACTATGTAACACATGTATCAGACTACCAGATTTGCTTTTATCATTTTAAAGTTATAGTTAAGCAAATGTAGGAAGAGTTCCTCTTGAGAGAATAATTTTAATTTAAATTAAGGTGTTGAACTCTCATTCAAATCTCATAAAATTATGAGGCAGAAAAAATTTACAATGTTTCTTTATATTTCTATAAATCCAAGGTGAATCATCAGGGCAATTTATTTAGGTCATAATTTGTTCTGGCTAAAAAACAGTCACAAGGATAATACAATTTTATACACCAATAAAAAGACTAAACCAATAAAGTAAATATGAGGTTTTTTGCATACTGTGCATATACCATTTTGAGATAAAATAGCATTTGAAAAGTCCCTGCATAATTACATTGAAGATGTCCTCCTTAAAATAGAAATATTAACTGTAAAAATAAAATACAAACTGCCATTAAAATGAAGAAAAATCCTATTTGATTACTGTAGTTTCTAAATTGGTGGTTTTCACACTTCAGTGTTTATTATAAACATCTGCAGTGCTTGGTCCAAATACATATTCCCAAGCTCTATTTGTATGAATTCTGACTTAGTTAAGTCTGGTATGGCTTCCAGGAGCCTCCATTTAAAACAAGCTCTCCAGATGCTTTTTAAACAGCTTATACATGGATTAAACTTTGAACAATCTTGACTTAGACCAGCATTGCTCTAACATTAATGTACAAACAAATCCTCAGGAGATGTTAAATGCAGAGTCTGACTCAAATGGATTGAGGTGGGCCTGAGATTCTGTTTGTGTAACAAGCTCCCAGGTGATTGAGTTTGCTGATTCAAGGATGATACTTTGGGAACAGTCTAATCTAAAACAAAAATTATTTTTCAAAAGTTCTTTTCTGGCTACCAGAAAAAGAAAGGCAAGAAATGGCAGAGTTAGAGTTCCCTCCCCTATAAAAGCAATAAAAACACTGGAAAAGATTGTAAAAATTAACTTTTTTTCAGAACTCTGGTTAATTAATGAAAAGCTTGCAGCAATTTGAGTCATATTTATTCAAGGAGAACCACCACACCTTGATAAGAACAGCAGAGTTTGTGGCCTTGTAGCTTTACTGTTGTAACTCCCATCTTTCCACTGCTCTGTAGTAACCTTGAAAATCAGCAGTCTTGCAACTAAGGTAGTTGTAAAAATGGGCAGGCTTATAGCCACATGAGGGCACAGACTGAGATTGCAGCTCTTCAAAAAAAGTCTCATCCCTGAACATTGTTACTTTTTCCTCTGTCTCACAGCTCCCTAGAAAAATTCAGTTTGCAAGGTGTTGTCTTTACTGACCTGGCTCAAATGAAAACAGCAATATCCAGGATGTTTGCTGAAAACAATCAGTAGCAAATGTACCTGAGTTTCCTACAGCAGTTGGATCAAATAAGAGCTTGCCAAAACATCAAAGGAAGATCTGGGGAACAAGATGATTATGTGAGGGGTTGAAGGAGCTTGCTGGATCCCCAAACTATGTAAAAGGTCTTCAACCCTGTCTATGAATGACATTGATGTTCCACCAAATAAATACTAATAAAGAGAGAAATTATTCAAAAGAACCAATTCTAAATTTTGGACTTTAAAAGTATGATACCTGAAATAAAAGATCACTAAAGGGACTCAACAGGAGGTTTGCAGTGGCAAAAGAAAGAACCAGTGTACCTGAAAATAGGCCAGATAAAATGATTATTTCTAAAGAACAGAAAGAGAAAATAATGACAAAAAATTAACACAGCTTCAGAAAACTGAGAGACACCATTAAGCATACAAACACAAGCCTTATCAGAATCCTGAAGAGACAGGAAAGAAAATGCAAAGAAATAAATGATGAAAAACTCCCAATTTTTTTTTAAAGATTTTATTTATTTATTCATGGGAGACACAGAGAGAGGCAGAGAGAGCTGGCTCCACGCAGGGAGCCCGATGTGGGAATGGATCCCAGGACTCCAAGATCACACCCTGGGCTGAAGGCAGACGCTCAACCACTGAGCCACCCAGGCATCCCGAAAAATTCCCAAATTTTATGAGAAACATTAATTTACACATCTAAGAAGTCTAAAAAATTTGATTCAGGACAAACCCAAGGCAATCCCAAACTAGAAAATAATAGTCAAAGTATATTAGTAAGCCAAGACGTGGTAAGCAGCAACAAGACAAAATTGACTTAACACTTAAATCATTCCTTTGTAAAATTAACAGTTGAATTTCCATCTGAAACCTTAGACTACAGAAGGCAATGGGATGATACAGTCAGTGTGCTGAAAGAAGACTGTCAATAAAGAATACTGTTTACAGCAAAACAGTCCTTCAAAAATGAAGGAAATACTAACAAATAAGCAAAAGCTGAAAAAAAATTCATTGCTAGCAGACCTGCCCTACAAGAAATACTAATGGGAGTCCTTCAGGCTGAAATAAGAGGACATTAGAAATTAATTCAAAATCACATGAAATAAAAAGCACCAACATAGGTAACTATATAGCTATATATATAAATCAAAACAAAAATTATAAGTGTAACTTCTTTTTTTTTAATTTAAATTCAATTATCCAACATATAATACATCATTAGTATTTTCTGTGCAAACTTTTAAATTCTGCTTTCTGATTTAAATGAAAAGAATGCAAGACAATAAATATAAAACTGTTCTAGGGTCTTATAATGTATAAAGATGCAATAGGTGTAACAGTAATGGCACTAACAAGTAGCTATGTAAAGCTGATACATTGCAGCCAAGTTTCTGAATTTTATTGAAATTAAGTTGGTATTAATTTGAGCTACATTATGCTAAATTAGGATGATTATAATCTTCGGGGTAACTAAGAAAATAAGAAAAAT